AATATCTGTGGTTACAACTGACAATGAAGCAGAAGGCTCTTGTCCTGCCTCTACAAAGACGCTTGGCTGGCCAGCCAGACGGCAGCAGTCCTCTCCTGCAGCAGCAGACAAGCACATTAATACCTCTCCAGTGATTCTTCCACCAGACACAGCCATCGCTGCAATCCCTACGCTGCAGTCTACCCCTGGGGCTGACCAAGGTGGGTCACCTCAACTCTGTATGCCTCTTAGAAAGGTTAAGGTTGAGAGCTGCTGCATCTTCTAAAAACATTTTTCACGTGAAAACTAATAATCCAATAAACCACATCTACTGTACATACATACATTCGCTTTTTAAGAAAAGGGTTTATCCTGGATTAGCGAACTGCTTACCTTTCTCTGCAGAGAGTTTGCTAACATCCATGGTTTTGTTTAGAACCTTAATGGCTAATGCAAGTGCAGTCTTTAAGGTCATTTCTCCTTCTTTGTAGTCTTGCTTCAGCATTGACACAGCTGCCTATAAATTTCACAGAAATTAAAATGGTATCTGTGGGTAATCAACAAAACAGTTGCTTTTTGCCAGACAGTATCAATACATGATTAACAGCAGCGCTTCTACCTATTTCTGCTCTGCACTAGTAATCAACAACTCAGTTTAATCAGTACAGTGCAATTTACACCTGCTGATTTTACTTGACTTTGAGAGGAAAAAAACCAACAGAACTTACAGCACTATTATTCCCAATGCATGTAGCCTTCCACCCTCCATAATTTCCACTAGGATCACTTTGATACAGCTGAAATCCATAATGCTTATCCCAGCCAATATACAGCAATGAAACACCAAAAGGACGTTTTCCTGTTGAAAAGAAGGCAATTAGCAATCTAAACTTAGTAACAAGATTGGTCATGAGTGACAATTATTTTCTTTGGTTTCCTTTTTCAAATCTATTCCTATGAACTAGGATTTAACAGACTGTTCTGCACTTCTGTGTCTTGAGATAAGCACACCAGCATTTCTTTTTAAGTCGAGGGGGAATGGGGGGGCAGCAGAGGTTTATTTCATTTAACCCTAAGAGCAGCTGATTTCTGTCTCCAGAAATTGTAATTTATCATCTCAGGACTTTAAATCAAAACTTAGTATTTGAAGTATGTAGCTTAGCTGTTAAAGCATATAATTTAACAGTGTCAAAAGCCAGGTACATAAAAAGGTCATTCTTTCACACTACATACAAGTAAAATACAAGAATCATCAGTGTACATGCTAAGGAACACTACTAACAACATCGTTTTCTAACATATTGATTGATCCACAGAAACAGTATTTTGCAAAGTGTTACAATATTGATACCCCAACATACAGTCTTATTTGTGATTCATTGTGCCATTACGCCAGATGGGCCCAAAATGTTGAAAGGTAACATAGCAAACAATTCTCTGCCAGTCTTTTCAAGGCATTCACTAAATCAAAGAGCACTCAAAGCATTCTATGCAGTGGGCCAGAATCTCGGCCATCAATTTCTCAATCACTAAAAAGTAGCACCTTCAGTAGCAAAACAGTAACCATGACTACCCATTCACCTCTTAAATTTGGCTGTTGTTTTTCCCAGTGTACATTGTTACAGAAGAATTTGGTAGAACTGTCCGGAGACTTGGATGCTTCAAATTATGTAACAGAATCATTCTTTAAACATTTAAAAGCACAACGGTTCATCACACTTCATTACCTCCAAACTGGGTATAAGCCTGCTTGATATCACATAGTGCTGTTACCAGTTGTTCACAAGGAATGGGCTCTTGGTATTGTAACAAATACCTAATATGAAAGAGAAAAAAAAATAATTTCAAAACTTGTTTTGCTGACAGTATCCTGATCCACATTTAACAAGAAACAAGCTCCTAAGTTAGAGCCTCTTTGATCTAGCTGGTTTATTTCAAACAATCTACTTCTGCTCTTCTAAACGCATGTTCGTTTTGATTTAATACATCAACAGAACGGAATCTGACATTGCAGGCAAGTAAAACCACGTTAACTACAAGCAGACATACCTCTGCGCAATCAGTCTCAGTTCATTTGTTAGAACATTGGCATCTGAAGTTATTCCTGCAACACTGCAAGCCATATCCCTGCAATAGAAGTACACAAATTAACCAAGTCCCTAGCAATCACCAACAAATAGTCATGTCTTCATACAGCAGCTCAAGAACACCTACTGTTGGGCCTCTCTGACCAAAACTACATAGCTGCCATATAAAAGAAGTTCATCAGCCTTTAGGGTACATCAAAAATATTACATAACCTTTTTTGTAAGAGCAGAGATGGACAGCAAAAAGTAAGCGGCTGTTACGCAGCCTCCTTGAAAATCCAGCGCTTCCTACAGTTCTAGCTGCTTGCAAGATCAACCCGGAACGGGAGGCTGACAGGATGAAAAGCTATTTGTTTGCACCTTCTGGCAAGGACGAAGCTCTGCCTCCCTCATAGGCAAGAGAGTGCAATCTGTAACACTCCGCTCTGACATCACAAATTTAACTTCCAGAGAGCTAAAAAGGAAGTCATAATAGGGAGATATATCATTTCTGCTACAACTGTGGCAAAGCAACCTAAGGCATGTTTTACCTAATTATCTCGTTGTCTTCGAATCACAAAAGAAAACCAAAGACTTAGAAGAGGATGCTGAGCTGAAATTGCATGGGGATTTTCGTGTGCATTCTTTATTCTGCCCCACCAAATGGTATTTTGTAGAACTGAGAATTTCCAATTTTCCCAAGTGCTGCAATAACATTACCTTGTATGGGGAAGTACCAACAAACACACCATTCCACCTAGAAAACTCTTTTTAGACGCTGAAAAAAAAGCAACACTTCTACTTCAGAAGGAGAACTACTGAAGCGAACGATGACAAAATAGTCATACCTGCCTAAAACACTGAACAAAAATACTACTAACACTTTAAATAAAATAAAAACAGGTTCAGTGCTAAAACGTCTGAGTAACAGCAGTGTTTTGTTACTGATAACGCCACTGGCCATCTGATCATCATGTAAACTTACTCATTAAGTTTGTATATTTTCTCCGAGAAAAACACTTCGTCAAGCAGCTTGTGAATGTTGCGTCTCTCTGCTGCCAGCAGAACACCATCATTTGCTAGAATTCCCAAGCAAGTACCTGCATGTCCAATTGCTTCCATTGCATACTCAACCTGGTACAAGCGACCTAGGAAAGGATTTAAAGCAGTAACATCAAAAAAGTTAACACTGAACAAGACCAAGCACACAAGGTGACTTAAATTCGCAAGAATCTGACAGCTGCTCATTGTACAACCTAGTCTTACTTCTTCAGTCTATTACCAGTTGATAGTAAATGAATTGGTTAAAAAGGAGGAAGAAGTCAGAGAAGGAAAATCGACAAATCTGATAAGGTTTGGAGGGCGTTGCCAATGTGGAAAAACACCCCTTTCTTTTACCAAAGGGGGGGGGAATCTACAGAACTCTGCTGCAGTAGAATGAGCCAAAATAGATTTTCAATAATCAAAGAAATTATTTGATACTAGACTTTGAGTCTATCCCATCTAAGAAACATGGCTTGTATGTCCTTGTTTCAGCATGCATAAGAATAACATGGAGAGCTGTGATTGTACCAGTGGGACATGATGCATTCCCAGGGGGAGGGGAGGAGCAGTAACAAAATCCACCCACACTCAAACAAAAGATGAACGGTGAAGGTTTGCTCAAGTTATTTCAAAACATGGCAGGTGGTATTACTCACTAATGGAGCAGGGCCTCATTATTGCTTAAATTAGAATGAATTTGGAGGTCTCCGCTTTGGACCCCTGGTGTCCTTACACAACCAGGCAGTACTTCTAGCAGGTAAATATAATTTCTGTAAATCATATATGGATGGAAACACGCTACAACCAACCGTCATTTATACAAATAGTTTGTTATTTAGTTTTGAGAAGATGGATAGAACAGTCAGAGTTTATTTGAAAGCGTGGGGTTAAAGAATACCTTCTGGAGAAAATATGGTAGTTCTGGAGTCATATCTTCGAGACTGCAAAAAGCAACAGCTCATTAAATCTCATCGTTCTCTTGCCAGAAAGCAACAATGTAAAACTAGCGATGCTCGGACCCGCACATAAAAGCCCCACCGGCTTGGTGACCTCGGTCTGGTACCCGGGGCCTGGCCCACGGACCCCGCCGTGCCCGCACC